TCATTCGTGCCTTTTTACTTTCTTCAACAGTCTCTCTGCATTCATCATCAAACCAGCCTACTCTACTATCAGTTTGCTTAAATGCTACTAATTTTTCTTCTGATCTTAGAATTTTTTTAAATCTCCGCCCACTTTTAATTTATGTTGTTTCCCCTGTTTATTTCCTCCTGTGATGTTTCTAGTTGTGCTGCTCTTTCATTTTGCGGTTAGTGGGTCTTCGGTAAGTTTTTGGTTATCATATATCGTTTCTCTCTTTGATTTCAGCCATTTAGGATTATGCTTCTTTCTCTGCTTATATTTAACCCTTACAAGTAAACGGCCAGAGTCTGCATCTGCTCCTCGATAGCTTCTTAGGTCTAGTACGTCTGATCCATGCCTCTGATCGTTTAGGGCATGGTCCATTTGGTTGTGATTCCATCTGGTGAGTTCCAAGTAACTTAATGCACTGTATATTTTTGTTTGGAAGCTTGGTGCTGCTAACTTTTATCCCTTTTACTGAAGCAAAAACTGTGAATCGGATCCCTTTGTCATTGCATTCTTCATTTAAAGTCTCCTTGCCAATGGTTGGTATAAACACTTTTTCTTTTCATATTTAATCTATAACTCCACCGAGGGCTTCTTTCATTACAGCAAATCCTGTTCCAAGAGTGTTAGTGTTGATGCCACTATAACATATAGTGTTCCCACTGTAAAATATAATGTTTCTTTTGTCATTATTGCTGCATTTCCCATCGAATTTATTGCAATGTAAAAATAGAGATTTTATACTTAATTAATTGATCTCTGAGCGGGAATTGTCGTCCCTCCCTCCCCAAAGCGCAGGTGAAAAATGTGCAGTCTACAAAATATATATAAAGCAATAAAAAGTTATAATTTAAAAGGGAATCTCATTTCAAATTTTTAAAATATTTTTTAAAGGGTAGCACATGCTTCCTTTCACGAATAAAAGTTAGTGAAATAATAGGACCAATGAAAATTTCTACCAACGATAAATTTGACGCCGTTCACTCTAGGCCAGGCAGGCCTGCACAACATACGGCCCGCGGGCCGCACGTGGCCTACCAGCACCCACTTTGTGGCCCGCGAGGTAACGAAAAACTCTTTAATCTTATTATTTTCTTATAAGATCCCCCCCCCTGACCTATATTCTTTTTGCCCGCGCAAGTCCTGTCCTATTTTCTTTTTGCCAGCACAAGTTTTTTGATAATGTATTACGGCCCACCTTACATTTTGAGTTGTGCAGGCCTGCTCTAGGCCTATACAGGCCCGCACCTAGATGGGAGGGAGGGGTTGGGGGAAAGAACATCCATGGCGCTTGTCAGGGGCCGGAGCTAGATTGGGGCCCACATTTTTTCGAGGTTTTTATTTTTATTTATTTATTTATTTATTTTTTTAACACAAGAGGGGCCGAACTCTGTCAGATGCCTGGGGTCCAGAAATTCCTAGGTGCGGGCCTGGCCTATATGTTTTTTTTAAATTGTTTTTTATTTTAAAGATCCCGATAGCAGGCTGCAGCTTCCACTTCAAACACACTTAAACTTACATTATCCGAAAAAAGTGCGGCCGTTACTTGGAACATAAGGAATTAAACTACATGTACTTTTCCATTGCCATAAAGGCCTATATTTAAATATTTTGAAATAGTTCTTGCTAACTCTCAAACATTAGCAATATGTTTTCAATTTTTGCATCTTCAAAAAATGATATCAACTTTAACTAAGGCGGGTTGTTAATTGAACAATATTATCATGCTCTAAAATTATATTTATTAGTATAACTTTTTTTATATTCAAATAATATTTATGAAAATTAAATATAGGCTATACCTTTTCTACAAAGCAGTATATTTTCTATTTTTGCATCTGGTAAGAGTTGAAAAGATTTGGGGAAAAGTATATGTATACTTGTGATGTTAACATCACAAGAATCCTTCAAGGTACTAGGAAAAGAGGAAGACCAAGAGCAACATGGAAGAGGGGAGTAGAGACAGAGATGAAGAGAATGAAGAAAAGCTGGGATGAGCTAGCAAAGATATCCCAGGACAGGAACAGATGGAAAAGTATTGTGGATGGCCTATGCACCATTGGTAGTAAGAAAGGCTAAGAAGAAGGAGAAGAATACTTATACTTGGTTTTTGTAATGTCCAGCTTTTATTTGGAAATAATTATTTTTTTTTTAAATCGTTTATTAATGAAGAAGTTTATCACAATAAATATTTCGAATAAAAAAATGTAAAACAACATTACAATTTAGTAACAACTTAAAATATAGCATTTGTATTAAAAAAAGGGTAATTTTTAATTCAACCAAACATTTTCTGGGGAAGGCCTAAATGAGCAGCCCCCCCCCCCTCCCCGTACTTTCCCTCAGGAGCCAAAGGCGGTCTCGATTTCTGCTTTCCCCTGCCCCCACGCCAATCACTGTGAGACTTGGAGTGTTAAAACTAAAATAAGCCAAAAGGATAACGTGTGGTGTGTAAAAACTAGAATGAATTATGTTTATGTAGGCCACAAGTGCCAAAATGCCTCACTTGCGCGCTGATACATGCCCGTCCTCCCGAGACCACTTCCCACTTTTGCTTGGGAGCCATCAGCCCCCTTGATTTCTGTCCTACATACCCCAATCAAAATGACAGTCTCTGCACCTTTTGAAATACAAATTAAAAAAAAAACACAACAGACAAACAAACGAACAAACAAAGTTAGCTGAGATTAAAAGCAGAACTCTAAGGCAGTGGTTCCCAACTTCTGTTAAGCGCATCCTTGGGGGTTGCTTGGGGGTACACAAAATGATATTGATGATCGTGGAACAAAAAAAGTGTATTTTTACACATCTTCCTTTCAGAGAAGATATATTTCATTATAAGTCTAATGAGGGAGGGGAAAAAAAAGGTTGCGTCACTGCCCTAAGGGTTGCCACAAATTTAATAAATTTATTTTAATTATGAGCGAGCTTGCTCTGGTCGTCATTGTGTTAAAATTTGGCGTTGATAGATGCACAACCCAAAGGCGTTAGTGCCACCTCATGGGCGGGTTAAGATTTTTTTGCCACCCCTTTACACTAAGAAAAACTTAGCAGAAAATGCTGCCCTTCTATTAAAAGGAGAAATTTAAAAAAAAATGATTTTGTGTGTGTGTGTGGGGGGGGGGGTGAATCGCCCTTTGCCGCCCCCTTCCTGTGCCACTTGGACTTCCCACCCAAAATATATGTCGTCCTCACCCCCCCCCCCCCCC